AAATAATCAATTAATTCATAATAATCGATTTTTATAATTAAAATAATCGATTAATAACGTTAAATCGATTTTTATGATTAAAATAATCGATTATTATTATTTTTAAATATACTGACTATCTGAACAAATTTTTAATCGATTATTAGGAAGGAAATAATCGATTTTCGGCCACTGTTCATCATCTTCTTCCTCTGTTCAATTTTTAACATTATCATTTTTAATTACCAAACTTCAATTAAATTATATAGGAATGTTCCCCAATGTTCACAGATCATTTTAGAGTCATTAATTTGTAGTTTTAACAACAATTTCTTGGTTTATGATTCTTGGTTCTTCAAACATGTCAAACATAAAACTCAACCAAACGACCGTTTATGAACGTAAAAACGATCTATACGAACATTCTAATCACTAGATATATCTACGGGCTTACCTCGAAGGTAAATGAAGGTTTTGAATATTTTCCGGTGAAACTTCCGGCGAACACCACGTCTTGTTCCGGCGACCTCTCACCAAATTGACAGCACCACTGCGTTCTCCACACTCAAGGCTATCTCTCAGAATGAATTTGATGAAGAATGGTGAAGAAATGGTGAAGTTGGGTTTCTTATATAGTAAAAGAATGGAGGAAGAGGCCAAGGTGATGATGTATCCGTTCCTGTTTCGGCATCTCAGTGGAGGGGGCTGCGATATTTCTTCGATTCCAAACGCAAGTCCCTGATTGGGACTAATTTGGTCCCAGTCGGGGAACACTTTTTGGTCCAACTTTCTCCGAATTGAAATCCGATTGCACCGTTGCGATCAGATAGTTAAACTCTATCTAATGATATAATTTTTATATTTATTCGTTATACTTTTTCCGACATCATATTTTTGGGTGGTTGACTTTGACAGAGTCAAAATTGGTTTAATTGACCTTTATTAAAAAAGGTTCTCACATTTAATTCATATAATTTATTTCCATGATTTATTTCAATAAATCATTTCAAAGTTCACATTATAAACAGTTTCTTCATTTATTCTTAATTTGGGTCTGTACTCAGGTTCCCAATCAAGATCACACAATAAATCAACATGTTGGATTTATCTCTATGAGATTTATCCCAATTATGTTTATTGGATATCAATATATATTTTATTTCAGCCCAAAGCCCAACAACAATTTATTTTAATCAAAACAAATTTTGTTTAATTGAGTATTTAATTCAATAAATTTTAGGGTATATTTTGGGGCGTTACACCATCGATGTGGGCCAAGTGGCCACGAAAGAAAGAAGGGATCCCATTGTCTTCTCCGACGAAGATTTAACGCTCATACCCAGCCCTCACCGGACCCCCCTGATAATTTCTATGGCTATTCACAAATTTTTTGTCAAAAGAATATTGGTGGATACAAGAAGCAGTGTCAATGTGTTGTATTGGGAGGCGGCCCAGCAATTGGGAATCAGGAAGGAAGATCTCACTGGAGACATAATCGAACTGGAAGGGTCCATTAAGCCGGATGTTATCATAGGCGAGCATCCAAAAGTGAGGCATCTGAAGATGGATTTTGTGGTAGTTGATATCAAGTGTGCCCATAATGCCATCTTGGGGAGGCCTGGACTGGAGGATTTGGGAGGGGCTTTGTCTCTTGAACATTTATGTCTCAAGTTCAGGACTCCCGAAGGTATCGAAAGAGCCCTTAGTGACCAGCCCGCAGCGAAGAAGGCTTATCTAAACGCCTGCAAAAGGATAGACAAGGAGAACCTCAACATCCAAACCATTGGACAAGCTTTGGAAGACAAAGAAAAGAAAGACGAGGACTGTGAGAGGCCCAGGCCAGCTGTGGAGATGGAAGAAGCGATGATATTCCCTAACGGAGATCCGGAGAAGGTCGTAAGGATCGGCTTAGGGTTAGAGGAGGATACCCGTGAGGAGATTATTCGAGTACTAAGAGAAAACTCGGTCCTCTTCGATCCACAAGTTGAACATTAAGATGGATTCCCTCCCGGTCAAGCAGAAGAAAAGGTATCTGTCCACGGACAGAAAGGAATTTGTGAGGAAGGAGGTAGAAACCCTTTTGGAGGCCGGCCACATTAAAGAGGTCCATTATCCTAAGTGGCTCGCTAATGTGGTGCTGGTACCAAAGGGGGACACATTTCGCATGTGCGTGGATTTCACGGACCTCAACAAGGCGTGTCCCATAGACCCCTTTCCACTTTCAAGAGTGGATCAATTAGTGGATTAAACGGCGGGCCATGAATTGTTGAGTTTCATGGATGCCTTCAGAGGATACCATCAAATTTTCATGCACAGAGAGGATGTAGAATCCACAGCCTTTATCACCTCTGAAGGAGTATATTGTTACGTGGCCATGCCCTTTAGACTGCGTAACGCAGGGGCCACATTTAAAAGAATGATCTCCTTACTATTCAAGGAGGTCCTGGGACAAATTATGGAGGCTTATGTGGATGATTTGCAGATAAAAAGTAAGAAGGCAGCAGGCCATTCTCAACACTTGGAAAAATGCTTCAGCATCATGAGGAAGCAAAATTTGAGGTTAAACCCTAAAAAATGTACCTTTGGGGTCCAGGGAGGAAAATTCCTTGGATATATGGTGAGCAAGAAAGAAATTGAAGTCAATCCAGACAAGTTGGAGGCCATCCAAGACATGGAGCCACCAACAAATTTAAGGGAGGTCTAGAGATTGGCAGGAAGGATAGCGGCCTTGGGAAGATTCCTGGCGCGGTCTGCTGAGTGGTCCTTACCCTTTTTTACAATCTTGAAGGGAGGAGGAAACTTCCAGTGGACCGCAGAGTGCCAGGAAGCCTTTGAACACTTGAAAGCATATTTGAGCTATCCACCGGTCCTCTCCAAGCCACTGGCAGGGGATATCCTATTCTTATATTTATGAGTGGCCCACTTAGTAGTGAATTCGGTCATCTTGAGGGAAGAAGAAGGGGTCCAAAAGCCAGTTTACTACACCAGCAGGGCCTTAAGGGGACCTGAAACAAGGTATACCCCCTTGGAAAAATGTGTCTTGGCAGTGGTGGTGACTGTGAAAAGGCTAACTCCCTATTTCAAAGCCCATCCAGTGAGAATCATGACGGACCAACCTTTGGGAGAAGTTTTGAGGGACCCATCCTCTTCTGGAAGGGTCATAAAGTGGGCCATGGTCCTCTCTCAATATGATATTTCTTACCAGCCCCGTTCCAGCAAGAAGGACCAAGTCATTGCAGATTTCATGGTGGAGTGCACAGCCAGAGGGAAGCCCGAAGAGGACGAAACGAACCAGGAAAGAAAAAGGGAGATGTGGGAAATACACTCTGATGGATCCTGCACCAAAGACGGATCAGGAGGAGGAGTGGGCCTCACCTCTCCTGAAGGCTTCAAGGCCTATCATTCCTTCAAATTCATGTTTCGGGCCACCAACAACGAAGCAGAATATGAGGCCCTCATCGGGGGAATCCAGGTTGCCCTATTCATGAAGATAAAGAACATTCGCCTCAAATCCGACTCAAAACTAGCCATTGGGCAGCTAAAAGGAGAAATGGAGGCAAAGGAAGGAAGGCTAAAGAAAAATAGAGACTGCGCCAAGAGCCTACTCGAGAAATTTGAGTATTATGAACTCATATATGTTCCAAGAGAAGAAAATGAGGAGGCAGACATGCTTGCCAAATTGTGTAGGACTGTCCTGGTCCACATGGAAAGCATGGTGAGGCAGCATGAGAAGACCTGTCCTATTTGGGAAGAGATGGTCCATATCCTTGAGATATCCGGTCCAGGTACAACATGGATGAGCCCCTTTCCACATACCTTGAAAAGGGAGAGCTCCCTGTTGACCCCAAGCAGGCTCGTAGAGTCCAATTGATGGCTCCTAAGTATCAGTTGGATGGAGGGAGATTATATAAAAGGACCTTGGGTGGACCGATGCTCAAGTGTTTGAGTGAAAGAGAAGCAAGAAGAATACTGGAAGAGGTGCACCAAGAAGTTTGTTCTGCCCATCAAGGTGCCCTCACTTTGGCAAGAAAGGTGATACTCCAAGGGTTTTATTGGCCCACTTTGAAGAAAGATGGACTGGAATTGGTGAAGAAATGTCCAACTTGTCAAGCATTTGCACCCATCCCTGGACGCCCATCCACGTTTTACACCCCTGTCACTACAGCTATCTCTTTTGCTAGATGGGGGTTGGATTTGGTGGGTCCTTTTGTCCAGGGGGGCTGGAAGGAAGAAATTTGCCATCGTGGCAATAAATTACTTCACCAAGTGGGTCGAAGCGGAGGCCCTTGTGAAGATTACGAAGGAATATTGCTGGAAGTTCGTGTGGAAAAATTTGCTATGTAGGTTTGGTGTTGATGAGCAGATCATAACAGACAATGGCACTGAATTTGCCAGCACCAACTTCAAGGAATTCTGTGATGCATGGAAGATTAAACTCAGTCGAGCAGCCGTAGCCTACCCACAATGCAACACGTAAGTGGAGAATGCAAATAGGACAATTTTGGACGGTATTAAAAAGAGACTGCACGAGTTAGGCACCTCCTGGGTGGAAGAGCTATCCTATGTGCTATGGGCCCATAGAACTACTCTAAGGAGGGCCACGGGAGAAACTCCCTTTGCCTTAACTTATGGTTTCGAGGCAAAGGTACCCATCAAGGTCTTAGTCCCTAGCACGAGGGTAGAGGCATACACCCCAAGCCTCAATGAGCAAGTGATGGATTGCCGTTGGTATTCTTCCGCCTTTATTGCCGCTTCGTCCCTCCTTTCTTGAGTGAAATGGGAATCCACTTACGACAAAAAAACCGTACTTTGGACATTCGAAGTCGGGGATTGGGTCCTACGAAAAAGGTAGAAAAGTCAACCCACTAAAGGAGGGAAGTTGGCCCGGAACTGGGAAGGACCCTATCGTGTAGAGAGGGTGGTACGGCAGGTACCTATCAATTAGCTACAGCAGAAGGAAAAACATTGCACAATTATTGGAATGTGGAGCACCTGAAAAAGTTCTACCAGTAAAAGGTGGTCTATGCAAGCTTCTATCCCATAATTTATCAAAGACTCATTTTTAGAATGTTTTCTGATTCCTTTTGTTGCAAGAAAATGGAATGTACCTTGCAAAAAGAAAAAACAGTTCACTATTCATAAGCCTCCATTTTGTTCCTTACGTTACCAAAAAAGGGCTGATCCTTTACAGTAAGGAACAAAACCACATGAGGACTGCCCGAAAACAATTACAATAATGGTTCAACGTGATGGAGGAGGACGGAATTGAGAGGGCTCTGGCCCCATAGGTTCTGGGATGCCGGGGAATTTCAACCAAGGATCAAAGCAATCAGAATAGGGCTCCAATCCACGATAAAAACTCTCCTGGACTTCGAACCCGCAACGATAAAAAACCCAACCATAGTCTGAAATATGGTCTACCTCTATTCGAGCCATGTGCCCCTCATAAGTGAGACGCTCGTTCTCAAGTGAGCGGCAGGCCTCGTCAAGGGAACTCCGGGCCGAACGTCTCTCCTCCATAAGAGTCAGGTTCAGTTCTTCTACCCGCTGAGAGAGTCGACATTCCGTTTCTTTGCTTTGAAGATGCCATCTCTGCTCAGCCTCTTCCGCTGCCTTCCTCGCCACCTCCTCGGACTTACGGAGCCACTTCTGTTCCAGCTTCTCTTCCGCCCTTCGTCGGTGAAGTTTGGCCTCTTCTCGGATCTGCCGTTCCCGCTCTATGCACTGCCGAGTCAGATCGTCCCTCAGAAACTGCATCTCCTTCACTTCATGGGCCCGATTCAGGTCACTTTGTCTGACCTTGCCAGCGAGTCGCTCATCTGAGAGGAGATCCTATCATTCTCAGATAGAACCCAGTCATACTCTGGGCGCTCGACGCAAATAGAATGCCGGGACCGAAAGTCGCCCAACTCCTGTGATAGAGCAGCGTTGCGGTCCAGGAGGCGGAGGGAATGGCGTTGGGCAGCAGAAGTGGCTACATAATCGGTCTGTCAAAGAGAAAGAGAAAATAACCATTAGCAGTTCTAAAAGACATAGAGAGGTGAATGAGGGACTAAGGACGAAGGAAAGGAAGAGTACTTACCATGCGGGTATACTCTTCTAACATGAACGGCCAGGCCGGGCTATGAACCACATCTGGGTGATCCCTCCGGAACTGTTGTATCTCTTGAAGACGATGGTTGAAGTGCCGTCCGACCCAGTCCGTATACCCTGCCTATTGGTAGGCCTCCCAGGAATAGAGGTAAGGCTAGTCCCCAGGGGCAGTGTTTCCCTACCCAGTAGGAGACCCATCACCGGCGGTCCCCATGGAGTGACCGGCGGACGCCACCGAGTCAGGGAGAGGAATGGAGTTCCAGCCTCGCTTATAACGGGCCTGAGAAGATGAAGACCCGGTCTCATGGGTTGATGGACCGGGATCGGCATAAGGGTGGACCGACGGCTGAACAGTGGCCCGCTGGAAATTGAAGACCGAATTAGCTCCTCTACCTCCCTGAAGGACTGATGAATGTTCGTTCTAGGAAGAGGAGCGCCCTGGCCAAGGGGCATCCCAAAAATGCTCTCCACTGTCGATTCTGTAAAATTTTGGGCAGTGGACGTATGGAGTTGAGAAGTAGCATCATCCCCTCCACAGCCTGAAGGAGGGGAATATTCCCAAGGAGACTCCGGGCTGCATTGAATCCCAAGTGCATCCACCTGGACATGGGGCGGCTCGAGAGATCCTTGTGAACCGGTGGCTCGGCCAGCTGGAGGGGTCCCACTGGATTGAGGATGGAAACCCACTGAACCCGTGGGCTGGGCAGAAGAAGAAACCTCCCTGCCAAAGAGGGGGGTATGGGGAATGCCTGGGATGAAGTGCGGTCCCTTGAGGGTTCCCGAAGTGAAGTCGTAGAGACCATCATCGTCAGAGACATCATCGACTACCACCTCCTCTTGGACGAAGGGGTGGTTGGCAAGTTGTAGAGGTTGGTCCCCGATTGTGGACTGCACCTCTTCATCCTCGGCGTCCACTTCTGGAGAAAGATCCCTCCGAGATGATCGCCACAGCCCCCATCGAAGTCGCATGGTCTTGGGGGGAGGAGCCCAAAAAGAAGTAGTGTTCCTCGATGTTTCGTGAAGAGGAACATCAGGAGACACCCAAAACCCAAGACCCCGGAAATACGAGTTCTTGAAGAGGAGGGCGCAGGGGGCTGAGTGACCATTCTTGAGGAGAAGGCGGAAAACCCCCTCGAGGTCCGAAGTGCGGGGAAGAAAGGTATGGGAAGGAAACTTATCCTCCTTCTTCCTCCATACGTTGGGAAACGGGAGGTCCTCCGGTTCCATCACCACATAAATCTTGAACAACAAGAAGAACAATCTTCTTCAACCTCTCAACATAAACTCTCAAAAGAGTAGAAATGACAAATGATTAAAGCTCTAATGGACGACAAGAAACCTCTCTTGAAAATATAATTTTCTCTCAAAATAATATAAATTTGAGGAAGGATTGATGCAGGATTAACACCTCAAGAATGGGGAGTATTGGAGTGTTTCTTATCTTGGAAAATGACCAAGGAAGGATGCTTAAATAGGAGGTGAAGAAATATATCCGTTGGTCCAAGAAAAAAAGCTGTGCAGAAAAGATGCAGCATAATAATCGATTAATGCATTACCAATAATCGATTAATGCATCATCAGCAACGATTAATGCAGCCTGTGCAAAAATGATAATCGATTAAGGCCAAAGGAATTAATCGATTAGAGTGTTCTGAGTAAGTTAATCGATTAACAAGAGGAAAATAATCGATTAAGTCAAACTAGCTCAACATAAAGTAAAACTCAATTAATCGATTAATCAAAAGAGTTTAATCGATTAATCAAAACAAGCGCAAACACAAGGGGGCCCAAGCCAGTTGCGATAGAGAGGAGAATTGGCGTAACACTAGTTGTTTGAGACAACGGGAATCAGAGAAGGCTCCTCCTCTCTTATTCAATGAATTTGAATAAGGGAGTAAAAGTGAGTCCAAAAATTATTTTGTGTGTCAAACGATGCACACAAAAAATATTTGAATAAAATATTTTTTGCTTTCCAAAAATATTTTATAATATCAAAATAAACATTTGATAAATGTTTGGCACACCTTTTGTAACTGACTCAATAAAACTATTTTGAACAGTTAAAAAGATTTTTCAACTGACTCCAAAAATAAATATAATTTTTATTTTAACTCTCATAAAAATAATTTTGGAGAGAAGATATTTTTGTCATCCTTACAAATATTCCTACGACTCAAATAAATAAAAGTCTTCGGAAATCTTCTACTCCTCTGAGTCCTCCGTTAGGCGCTCCGAACGCGTCTCGGACTTCAATAAAATCCTGTGCACCTTCTTGAATACTTCAAGGAATGGCACTTCAAGTCTTCGTGTTTGTTGTTGTAGCACTTTGATCTTGACTTGAATAAATTGTGTTTGTCAATTATCAAAACCTGTGAGTCAACACTTAACAATACAGAAGGGGTTGAACTCATGCATTCCAACAGAAATCTGGCCGGGAGGGATGACATACCAGTTACAGATCTCCACCAAGGAGGATGTAAGGGAAAACGCCACCCCATCTTGACCGAGTCATAATGGACGATCAACCGGAGGGGAGTGTTCTGATTGCGGTCCAAAGTAGTTCATTCGGCTTCCTGAACTTGGTAGTCGAGAGGGATCATTCCCCTCATCTCCCTCAGTTGGGCGGGGGTGATGGAGGAAACATTTTCATCCTCCTTGGCCTTCTTGTTGCCATGGAAGAGCTTCGTAGCTTTAGAGAGGGTTTTCTTCATTTTGGAGAAGGGGGTGAAAGGAGAGGAAAAATGCCAAGAGACAGGGATGAAGGCAAAAGGCTACAGATATGGTTATGAGAGGGTGAGAATAAGGAGAAGGGATTGACCGATTTTATAGAAGGTGAAGAGGGGGAAAGAAACGGTTCACCTACAATTAAGGAAGAGAAAGCACTCCAAGGAATCCCTTCGAGAAACGTTACAACTGTTGTAGTTAGGTGCCCTAGTGGCAATCAAATACCTATGTAACTGTACACTTTATCATGAATGAAATGCCTTGAAGTATGTTTTATATCTCGTGTAACATAACATAGCTTCAGTCCATAGACGATAGCGCTTCAGTAACATAGATGAGGACTACGATGTTCTGATTATATGACTGTTACTTCTTGACGAAGGCTATATCTAGAATATCCCTAGTCGCACTTTATTATAATACGGACGTCATAACGTATCAATACTAGTACGTACGAGATGAGATAGTTGCGTCTCATAGACTATAGGTATTGTGATATCTTAATCTGTACGTAGGTGCATATTATATCGATAATATGTGACTGGATTGACCCATCTTGAGAATACTGCATGGATCTACAGTAATGTGTTTATCAGTATTCTCAAATCGACCTTGCTATAACTATCCTCAGACTTGAAGTTATTACATTCTCTGATATGTGGGGTCGTATGCTTTGATTCATAACTAATGCTATCTGAAATACTGGTAGACGTACAGTTATGCGTTGGGTATGCCGCTAAGCATATTTAGAGATGTGAATAACAGATACATGATCTGTCCCTTCTACTGTATAGAAGTATAATGTCAATGGGCCCACTGAATAGTAGGACTTGGGAAAGTGCATGGCCATGCCAAGATATGTTGATAAATATCTGATCCCTGCCAGCCTACTTGAGATTCAGTAACAACTGATTTAACTATACAAGGATACACATCCCATGCCTTGTGTTAAATCATGACATTTAGGACAGAAGGATAATAGTTATAGAACGTCTTGTGTCGTAGAAGGTATTGATGAGATGAACGTCTTTTTCATAATCTGGGGATAATAATGTGTTGCTAGATACCGCTTATTATCTATGGTATTAATTTATATTAATATCATTGCCAGTGTTATGGATACCTAAAGGGTCACACACTTAGGACTTGTAAGGGAGTA